CGGTCAAACTGACACAAGTACCCCAGCGAATAAGTGCGTATCATTTTTTAGCGAAATAAATTTAGACAAACGCTTAGCGTCCTTTTGGGAATTGGAAGATATCCCAAGAAATAAGACTTGCAACAAAGATGAAACCTATTGCGAGGAACTTTATAAAAGCACTACTAAACGGAATAAAGCAGGCAAATATATTGTGTCACTGCCGTTCAAACAGGATTTTCCAACTAACGTACGATTAGGTCCGTCACTTAAGATCGCTTGCTCACAATTTTTTCGAAGTGAAACGCGTTTAGCAAAGGATCCACCTTTACAATCAGAATACAATAGGGTCTTGTCTGAATACGAGACATTGGGCCACATGACTCGGATTCCTGAACATATTCCTGGAGACGAATGTGAGAACTACTTCCTACCTCATCATGCTGTCAGGAAAGAGGAAAGCACTACCACCAAAGTGCGAGTAGTCTTTAACGCATCGTGTCCGACTGCAAACGGAGTCAGTCTCAACGACATCCTCCACCCAGGTCCAGTCCTGCAAAGTGACTTGACAATTTTAATATTACGGTGGAGACTATTTCAATATGTGTTTAACAGCGACATCGAAAAGATGTATCGCCAAATTTTATTAAACCCTGATCAAACCAAATATCAACGTATTGTTTTCAGAAAAAGCTCAAGCGAACCAATTAATTTATATGAACTGAACACGGTTACCTTCGGTGTTAATTGCGCACCTTACTTAGCAATTAGAACCCTACTTCAATTAGCTGACGATGTAGAGAGTCTATATCCTGTAGCTTCAGATATATTGAAAAAAATGTATGTATGTCGACGATGTTTTAGCAGGAGGACATACCATCGAATCTACCATCAAAGCTAAAGACGAGGTATCAATGGTTTTACAATCTGCTGGATTCCCGCTACGAAAATGGACATCCAACTGCGAAAAAATACTGGAAGGATTACCCAAATCACACCTTTTAAACGAAGATTTTTTGGATTTTGAGGACACCAGTACCGTCAAGGCGTTGGGCATCAGATGGAATGCCCATTCTGATAAGTTTTATTTTACTGCCAAGCCATTGGAGACTGAGGTTCGCTTTACAAAAAGAGCAATACTTTCGGCTATTGCAAAATTATTTGACCCATTAGGATGGCTCGCGCCATTTGTAGTTACAGCAAAAATTATAATGCAAGACATTTGGTTGGAAGGAACAGGTTGGGACGAAATTGTCTCAACTGCATCGTCCGATCGTTGGCAAAACTTTGTAGAGAGCTACTGCCACATCGACAAAATTCGTATTCCTCGTTGGGTATACTTTTCTCCTACAGATAAAATAGAACTTCATGGCTTCTGCGATGCCTCAGAAAAGGCATACGCAGCCACTATTTTTCTTCGGGTTCAAAAAGCGGAAAAGGTATTTGTCAATCTTCTACTGGCTAAGTCCAGAGTGGCACCGGTCAAAACTATTTCGTTACCACGATTGGAGCTGTGCGGTGCTGTTCTGCTTGCAGAACTTGTTGAATCGATCGTTAGCAATCTCACTTTAGGCCAGTTTACCACACATCTGTGGACAGATTCGACTATTGTCCTAGCCTGGATTCGAAAACCTCCCTGCTCATGGTCAACATTTGTTGCCCATCGCGTAACAAAAATCATTGAGAAAGTTGGAAGCCAAAATTGGCTCCATGTGGATTCAGCATCAAATCCATCAGATTTAGCTAGCAGGGGTATTATTGCGCAAGAATTGGTAGCCTCTTCCTTGTGGTGGGAGGGTCCTTCTTGGTTGCAAGAAGAAAGAACACAATGGCCCACACAGGAAAAGGACTATAAGACACAGTTAGAACAAAAAAAGGGTACAGGTTCATGCGACCACGGCAGTCGATATTAGTAATGATATTCTTGAAAGATTTTCCGATCTACCGAGAGCTTTGAGAGTCCTATCATACGTACTGAGATTCTCCCAAAGAACTCGCCGTAACACTAGAGCTTCATTTCAAGCGGAATCTTGTTCGATTTCAGCTGATGAAATCAAAGCAACGACTCAACGCTTAATAATTATCTGCCAGAAGCAGCATTATGGTCAGGAGTACTCATCACTGAGATCGGCAAAATTAATAAGTCCAAAAAGTGAAATCTTGTCCCTGAACCCATACATTGACAAGGAAAATATAATTAGGACAGGTGGTCGCCTTGGAAAATCTTTAGATCTCGCTTATAACGAGCGCCACCCAATTATCCTTCCATATAATAGCAACTTGTCTCGTCTTATAGTCCAGTTCGTTCACAAAGTATCACTGCATGGTGAGAATCAGCTTATGCTGCGCTTGATTAGAACGCAATATTGGATACCTCGAGTCCAGAATATGATCAAATCGACAATTCACAACTGTAAGATCTGTACGATCTACCGAAAACGGTCGCAAACGCAGCTTATGGGCATTCTTCCTAAAGAACGCACCACATTTTCACGCGCGTTTACTAACACAGGTGTCGACTTCACCGGACCTTTCGACATAAAGAACTACAACGGACGAGGTTGCAGGGTGTCTAAGGGGTACGTATGTCTGTTTGTGTGCTTTGCAACCAAGGCGATCCATTTGGAAGCCACCTCTGATTTAAGCACACAGTCATTCTTGGCAGCATTTGCAAGATTCGTGGGGAGGCGAGGGTGCCCAAAAAATGTCTACTCCGACAACGGTACCAACTTTGTCGGAGCTTCGCGATCGCTAAGATCAGAATTCAAAGCCTTTATGGCCGAAGCCCGCAATAACACCATAACAAAATACACCCATCAAATGCTTACATGGCATTTCATTCCCGCCGCAGCTCCCCACATGGGTGGATTGTGGGAGGCGGGAGTCAAAAGTTTTAAATGCCACTTCACAAAAATCGCTTCAAACTATAAATATACATTCGAAGAATTTACGACCCTTCTATGCAGAGTTGAGTCATGCCTCAACTCGCGACCCCTCAGTCCCTCTTCAAACCAACCCTCAAACTTAGAGCCACTTACTCCAGGTCACTTCTTAGTCGGCGGGCACCTTCTTGCTCCTCCTGAAATCGACGCTGATGAACACCGTGCGTCGATTGTGAATCGTTGGCAAAGACTGAAGGCTCTACACCATACGTTCTGCAAGAGGTGGAAAACAGAATACCTGTCGGAACTCCAAAAGCGCAATAAGTGGAAATACCCACAAGCCAACTTGAAAAATGGAGACCTCGTCGTTATTAAGGAGGACAACCTACCACCTAACGAGTGGAGATTAGGTAGAATCGTTAACCTACACCCAGGTTCAGATAACCGCGTACGAGTCGTGGAGGTCATGACCGAAAGAGGGCAAGTCACAAGGCCATTAGTAAAACTGGTCTTATTGCCGCCATATAGAGAACAGGATGAGGAACAACCCAGCAACTCTGTCTCATCATCTACGTCGTCGTAAAAACCATCGCGAATTCCCCTTCTCATATACCTATCAGTTCCACTACCAAACCCGCAACAAAAATATGCAGTCTGCTACACACTGCATTGGCCTACATAAATACTTATGTAATACATATAACATCATGTCTTACAAGTCATCAACCAACAAAATACCGCAAACCCGAAACGCATATGCGTGTTTTACAAATATCATGGAGTCGTAAGATTCCTTCGCAGAGATTTGGAACATGAAGTCACAATCAAAATTCGATAACGAAATCAAGAGTCAAACAAATCCCCGACTGTTATCCTTTCTCATTTACCAATTTTTTTAAGCTTTAATGTTGAATGATCTTGGGAAACTCTTTGAATACTGTAGTTAATCAGTAAGTGAAATGTTTCAGTATCCGAAATCAAACAAAATTATCGAATTCCGGCTGTAGACTGCATGCGTTCAAGAGACAATTTTGTGAAGTAATCTTCAGCACATAAATGATCATTTACATATGTACTAACATAAAAACGTAGAGCCGAACCTCAAAAGAGATTTGTACAAGGATTGCGCTGTGTTTAATAGGCGTGTTTGGCACGCCTACACACAAGACTTCGCATATGAACCGTTTCGACGGTAGTGGAAAGAATTTTGGAATACCTTAAAGGCAGCATGATTTTATAGAAAACTAATCGGAACTTTGTTAGCATACAAAAGCATAAAAAAAAAAAAAAAAAAAAAAAAAAAAAAAAAAAAAAAAAAAAAAATAATCGACCCAGCCTAATGTGCCTATGCAGATGCTTTACACAAATGAGAATGAAAGTCCCTACCAGAACAGGTTATCCAGACTACCATTAACATTTTTGTTTTTCAATTCCTAAACGCAAACGCAAATTATTACGAAGATCTACAATAAACAAACGTAGGAAGAGTTTAGAAACTTTAAATTCTGTTTTTTTATTAGGATAGCTACCCAGTTTGTTCTGGTAAAGTATTCCATTCAACAAACTATGCAGTGCTACATAAACATTAAACAAACAAATACATATTAAAGCCCACAATCATATGTGAACTATTAGTAAATGGAGTCACTTACCCTAACCCGTTCGACGTTGGTTGACTTGGGGGGAGAGAAAATTCACTACCGCTATTGTGGGTCTGCAATTTCTTCGGCGTTGTTAACCGCGTTCCAGTTGCATCGGAAGTATTTACATTGGTGTCGCGTTTGCTGCACGCATTTGGCTGCGCTGTTGCGGTTGGAGTCAAAGTTTCATGGGTGGCAACACGCGTTTGTGGCGACATGTTGCGTTGATATTGTATGCTATAGGGTGAAATGTAAGCTGGTTTCTTTAATTGCCGGCAACGTGATAATCTCAGCCGAAGATCCACCTAAACAAAAAGACTGCAGATTACATATACTAGCAATACAAACGAAAAAAAAAAAAAAACCTGCACCGCCTTTTGTTTAACAACAAGTAAAATTGACGGACGACAGCACATCTTCGGTTGCAGCTAGCTCAGTTGGATGTGCTATTAGGCATATTTATGAATTTAAACTTTTGCGTTATTGCGCGTAGTGAAGAAATATTTTCCGAGGGGCTGTCGTCGAATTCATCATCATCGTCGCTGAGTTGGTTATCATCGATGTCATTTTTAGCGTCAATTATTGAATTCTTTTCGGTGCCACCTTGCAGTTTCTTTAGAGCACGAGAAGACATCTTCGAGAACTTGAACCGCTTCAATAGCTGCTATTCACACCAAATTCAAATATTCATACGTATCTATTTATGTGCAAGTGCAGATCAAAAATAGCGAATATCCAACCAAAATTTTTGTTGAAATAAGGACAAAACAAAATTGCAATGTCTCTTCTTTTTTTTGCTGTTTACAACTAAGAAAAAAAATAAAGAAACAAATCTACTTTTTTTACACAAGCCATTGCGCTTTTTGCCGTCTTCCTAAATGGAATACAGTACTCCAGTGATTGTATCTATGCTTGTATGCATAAGTATATTTATGTATAAGGGTCTTGCCTCTTAAAAGTAGTTAACTTTTTAACTGGTTGCTTCTGACAGCAGCAATAAAAAATTTATAATTTTTTCTTAATAAAATTTGCGCGCAAAAACTTTTTTCATATAGCAATCAATCAAACAAACTGCATCTTGAAATGTAGCTGCTGGAATTTTTGTAACTATTCTAATACAGTTAGTCAATTCGTTGTAGGTACAGCTGTTTTCAGCTTCAATGTTTTGCAGTTTTTACTCGTGCCAACTACTCTTAAGCGCCTAAAAACACGCTTCAATAAATTAAAATAATTATTATTTTTATTTTGTTCTTTAGCTACAAAGTTGCATAGTAACTTTGCAACTAAATGAAGTTTGAAAAAAAAAAAAACATCGTGACGCCTCTGTCCTATACACACACACACCCTCACAGACCACTATAGTATGCATGCAGCGATGCATGCGTGCACGCACTACTCATTGCACTTGTACCACTCCCCGTGTGGATTTATTAATCACGCAATTTGTTCGATTTCATTGCAACTAAGCCGCAATTGAAAACAAATCTAAAAGTCGTAGAATTCATTGCTTTTATTATTAAATCGTCGCGTTAGCACATACACGACCGCTTCATAGGTGGCCATCATTATAGCTGTGTTAGGTATTTGCCGCACCAGTTGTGTCGCTAAGCCTCTATATAGACCAGCCCGCCCTTCCTCCTTCCAGACGGTGTGTAACGTTTGGAAAAATTTATTATATTTAGTACCCTCTTCCCGCAGTCTTGTACGCGCCACTTCATGCGGATATGCAATGCAAGATGCTACAGTCTTTGAAATGGCACCAGCCATCATAAATTCCAGAAAATCTTTCGATGATTTGGCATCACCGTTACGTGTGTTGTGCATTTCAATCAATTTCGATTTGATAAACTCGTAAATGACAAAGTGCACCATTGTCTCACAGATGCCAAAGTAACTGGCGGTGATGCCTTTGTAGAAACCAGCTATGCGCGTCTTAACAAACCAAATGGGATTTGTTAGTGAGGACGAGACGAAACCAGCGCTGGCAGCACTTAGTATGTGCACTTGCGGTGATTCGGTTTGCAGGAAACTTACACTATTTAAAAAATTCTTTGTTTGTGAGTAGGTGCAAAAATATATCGCTCGTGAAGGTGCCACACCAATAAGATTCGGTCCCAGACCGAATGACGATGACGTCTTCACATTTTGACTTGGCCTATTTTGTTTAGCCTCAGTTGTTTGCATACGTGTTTATCAAAATTATTAAAAGTTTAATTAGTTCACTTACTTTGGACGCAACTCGTCGCTTGTATGCCAGCAAACAATGGATACCAAATTTTAGTGTTTTGATTTCGGGAGCTTAATAAAAATCGGTGGAAGTTAGAAAATACGGTCCGGCCGGTTCTTCCGCGATGCGACGAATTCCCCATCCATCCTTCAGGTCAACTGGGTTTTGACGTGCAAGGATGGGGTGCTTAATTGCGTGAATGGTATCCGTGACATATTTCTGACGGAAGCTGAAAGTAGAAGGTGAAAAATATTCAATTAAAATGTTGTTGACAAAAATACACTACTTACCGTCTCGTGTCATTCAGGAAATGCTTGACTTAGGCTGCAATTCGATGAATGAAATGTCAACAATGATCGTAAATTTTACGCTATGTGAAAGCAACACCGCCTCAGTGTGGCACAGGGTATCACAAAAAAAAAAAAAAATAAACTAAAAAAAGAAAAAATAAATCTGAAGAGCGAAAAAAAAAAAAATCAAGACTCCTCCACTTCAACAACCACGACTGAAAACGGAAAGGTCGCGCTATATGCAAAGTAAAGTTTATTTTATAAAAAGCATGATTGTTGTATTTTATTCGGAAAACCTCAATTCGAGCTCATCCCCATTGAAAGAAGAAGAAGTGTTGTTTTCGAAACCTCGATAACTTTATTGAAACTTTGTTGAAACTAATTTTTGTATTGAAACTAACTGTATTGGAACTAATTTTTGAATTTATGTCATTTCTTCGCTCTCTAAAAGGGCTATGGATTCGGGTTCACAACGAATCCTGTACAATATATATATATATATATATATATATATATATA